CAGACAGCCTCTTCCCAATATGCGTTTTTGCAATTTACATATATGCAAAAACGCATAAAAACGGATGTCAGGACGGGCAGCAAGCACTGGCCAAGGCAACTGGGGAAGTTTCCAATCCCACTGGGGAAACCGACTAAAAATTCAGCTGACGTCAGTGTCTGGAACTATAATTAAAACAAATACAACCTTCCGTTATCACATTCCGCGCCCCGTGTTAAGAAACCCTTTTTCTTTCCAAGAAACCCTTTTTTTATCTACAGAAACTTTGAAGAAATGATAGGTCTATTATAGAGCATAGAGTTGTTAAAGTCAGCCGTGGCTTTACTGGTAAGTTACTTCCGGTTTCATCAACGCCGCAAGCTAACTCGGCCTTGAACTCCAAATCCTTCTATGCCCTCCAGCCCCGGACTCCACTCTAATATATTAACGCAATTTCATTTAATCGGTTTTCAGATAATATATTAAAATATGCGGGGTATTCTAAATCCACGCAATCCACGCTCCACATAACTCCTGCTTGTGCATTACTCATGTACTCCGTACTCAGTTTTCCACTATTTTCAGACTACGCTAACTCTGAATTTCTAAAATGTTTCCGGATTTAATTAACAATTAATCAGCGCTAAAATCAATGTTTGGTTTACAGAAATTTCTGTTTATTCAGCCGAAACATTCCTGTTCATCCATCTTTTTAAATATTATTTTATATTTTCATGTATGTCAAAGCTGATGTATCTCTACTACAAATTTTTGTGAAAAAACACGATGGCATGCAAAATTTCATCAATCGCTTGACACTTTCCGGCCAAATCTAGCTTGGGCTGTTACAGCATGTCGAGAAAAGCGAGAGCAAGAAAAGCACGCATATGCAAAGCAATAAAACGCAGATGAGAAGGTGCCTTAAGCCAAAAACACAGACGCCAAAAAGAAACGAGAACGGATGGCGTGGACGAGAACAAAGGTTCGAACTTACTCGAACACAGTGCTGTCATTCTGGTCGCCCCAGATCAGAATTTCAGCAATGGCCCTCAGGCACTCCACCAGCAATTTCCGGTTATTTTCCGTTACCTGCTCGTTCTTCACCAAAACGCTGTGAAGATACCTGAAAAAGACATTTTTCATTGTGCACTTGGGAAAATATTAAAAAAAAAAGCTTCGCGAAAGTCATCCCTCGATCAAATTTTGCGGCATCTCATCGTTGTGCACATTTTGGACGGGACGGCAATGCACAACACATGCCATGAACATTTTGAAAGCACTAAAGCCTTGCCAAATGCTTTTGCTGGGAGATCGTTAAAGTTGGTAATGCCTTCAAGAAACAAAAAAAAAAAAAAAAGACTGGATCACCAGCAAGCTGACCAGCGAGCAATGCAGCACCGGTCAAAACAACTGGGAAAGTTGTCAAAATAACTGCAGAGACGAAAATTCATAGCTGCCACAAAAATAGGCGGGGCCGGAGGAAGCAAGGGTTTTTCCCCCCTTCCCTACATCACAGAAATCAGCGGGGCAAAAACCCGGATCTA